TGTGTGTGTGTGTGTGTGTGTGTGTGTGTGTGTGTGTGTGTGTGTGTTGCTGGGGATTGCATGCATGCTAAACATGCTCTCCCACAGTGCTTTCCGAGCCCTCATTTCCCCCTCTGTTGGAGACAGGGTCTCACTAGGCTGTCCCAGCAGGCCTTGAACTTCCCATCCCCTGGTGTCAGTCCCCTGCCTAGCTGGAATTCCACGTCCTAGCCACCAGGCCTGGCTCTGTGGTCACTGTTCAGGTTTAGAGTCTTAACAAGCTATAAAGTAAAGGCTCTTTTAGGACAGTGAAGGAACATTTTCCACCATGTTTTTCCCCCCAGTTTTGCACAACTTGGGAAAATTACATTGTTTTATAGAGATTTTGAAAAAATTATTCTTAAAAAAGAGATTGTATACAATTTGAGTGGGGATAGAATTTCCATGGCATTGAGATGTTTAGTGGAAACACCAGGTTAATGAGACATCTTGAATAAACTAGTTATTATCCATGACTAAAGACAAGTTTGCAATAAAACTGAATCTGTTCGATGGAAAGGCAAACCATGGCGCCTCTGTTTGTTTAGGCCACTGACTTAATCCCTGGAGAAGTTGCTGGGCTCTCCCCAAGTGCTGAAAACCCAGTTCTATTTTTAAAATAGCTGAACACCATCCCGGCTTCACGCTTGTTCTCTGAAGTGTTTAACAACATGGACAATTGTCTTTTAGACTAATGATTGTTTAGGCCCATACCCAGTTGAATCTTCTCTTTCTTAAAGTTGTGTAGTTAACTAATGACAAACTGAGAAGCAGGTTACTGGGGAACATTAGTTCCTAAAGCATAGAGATATGGAAGAAGGGGGTATTTTTGTTTGTTGTTTTTGTTTTGTTGTTGTTGTGGGGGGTTGTTTGTTTGTTTGTTTGTTTTTAGGTTTCAGTGACCTGTTAAATCTCTGATATATTCGAATAGGAGAGTTTCTCCTCCTTGGAGCTACACCCCCACTGACAAGCAACTAAATCATGGAAGTGGATGCTATGAGGTCCTGACAAGAAGCTACATGAATTTTGAGCCAATTACACCAACAAAAGGGCTACAACCCCAAATAGACTCCGTTAACAATGCTCTGTGTCTCCAACTGAAATGGTGTAAAACTTTGATCTTGATTCTAGAGGTTCTTATTTTCTTTAAGCCCAGCTGATAAACTCAGCAGCCAAAAGCAGTTTGTTGCTTAAATGCTGATAAAAATGAGTAAAGGACCTCATTCTAGAGAGACCCCTCTCACAAACTTTTTAAAGTTTTTTTCCTGGCTTTGGCAGATTGCTTCTCCTGCAAAAGACTAGCATTTAATAGAGTGAGTTCCTCCAGTGAAACCAGCTGTTTCCAGCGGCAACCACATAACAAGTCAGAACACAGGACTCCAGTGTCTGTGGGTGAAATCATGTCAGGTTGCTGCGGAAGTTAGAGGTGCAAAGATCTTCCTATCACTTAGAATATAGCCAAGCATGCAATAGGCAGGCTGTGCCCAGAGTGGGTAGCTGTTCTCACTTCCTAGCCTTTCTCCTCTCTGTCCCAACTCATGTCTCCTGTGACCATCAGGCAGTAGAACTCACGTGTCCCAATGACTGTCAGGGAGTAGTGCTCACATCTCCCATGACTATTGGGCAGGTTGTACGCACATCTGCCCATGAACGTCAGGCAGTAGTTAGTACTTGCATCTTGCCAGGACCATCAGGCAGTAGTTAATACACCGCCCCTCTTCAAACACTAATACTCACATCTGTCCATGGCGACAGGCAGTAGTGATACCCTGCTGCCTGTCACCTGATGAGATGTCCCTGCTTCAGTGCCTTCCTGGTGTAACTACGCCTTTTCCACATGGTTTGTAAGGGATGCTTCCCATTCCTGTGCCTTGACTAGGTTGACAGAATTCTTTATCTTCTCTCCAGGGTGGTTTCCTTTAAAGTGACGGGGAAAGAATACCTATTCGGCTAATGTGGTGAAACGGAATGATTTGTAATGGCTGATAGCTGTCATCCAGGTGTACCCTGTAGCACAGATCTTGGCTTTGGTGCTGTAGAGGCCAGAACTGTTTGACTCTGACTATGGCCCTTGTGGATGATGCTGGTACAGCCATTAATTTGGAGGAAGCATGGTGTGTCTTGTATTAGGAGTCTGTACCATGGATAGATGCCAGCAAAAATCATTTACAAATTCTTGTTCATGGCCTGTCTCTAAGATAAGTCTTAAACATTTCCTTCTGCCATTAATAGAAGATAGGTGACAGAAGGTGAGGCAACCAGCTTTTCGGCCGGGTGACCTTTTGGTTAAAAACAATAGATGTAGGAGCTTTCCTGCCGACAATATTTTTTGAAACTTTCCTCTGCTTTCTTTACTGACATGATCTTTTGATGTGGCTATGATTAAGATGTATTTCCTAACTTCGTGTATATCTAGCAATCTTTTGTTCTCAGTATTACACATGTTAAGGTGTTAGTACTTACATGAAAATTTATTTTGTGGTTAAGAAAAAGTAATTTTAACAGTGAGATTTCTTTGTTTTACTTGCTCAACCAGTGGGATTTCCCCCGTGGAAGGCGCCGTGGCTTTGTAGGTCTTAAAACACCAGCATTCTCCAAGGAAGAAGCAGGGTTTCACGTGTTTTATCACACTCCTGTACACTGAGAGGCCTTTTTTTAAAAAAGAAAAAAAAAACAGAGAAACATATGTTTAGTGAGTTCGTATTTCTTAAAATACACATGGCTCTTCAGACTGGAATCTGTTGAAACAGTACTCCCATTTGAAAACCAAAGAGTGAAGGCTACACACAAAAGTGATCAAGTGATTAGCCAGAGGCTAATAGAAATTCTGGAAAGAATGACAGATTGTGTATGAGAAAGAAATATAATCTCACATTCATTGTAGCTTTTTTACAATTAAAGATCAAAAAATAGAAAATTACTGGAGGAGATGAATTACAGAAACCTTAGAAATGCACACGGTGTCGGATTGATCCCAGCAAGAGGACTGATGAGCCCATGATAAAAGTATTGAGTCCAAGTCTGTGCTCCTTGTTTTAAATGTACTTTTGTCTTTTCATCCCCTCCCCTTCTCTCAAGATAAGCCAGTTTTGGAAACCTCGAATCTATTTTTTTCTTTATCATATCACATACATATATAATTCTTTGGAAAACAAAGTGCTGTAATGACGCCAAATCTTTGGAGGGAGGAGGTAAGCGCAACTTTCCTCTGTCCTGTGCCTAGCTGATAGAGTTTTTCCTTCTAAGAAAACGTAACAAGGCAGAGGACATTTTCACATCCAGTTGCTGATAGCAGCCACGGCTAAAGGCTCGTGGGCATGCCTCGATGGCTCTAGTCATAAATGACATAATATGGCTACATGTTTTCATTGCAGGAGAGTGATCATTACTTACATGTTCTAAAATTAGCTTCATCCTAGGTATCTGCTATTTTACCAAAAAGAAAAAGACTGGCCATGTATTTGTGCACGTGGCAATCTCTCCTGCAAGCTAGCTTCTCATTTTTCTTCAGAGTTAAGCCATCCCAGCATTCTAACTGCAGAGCTCAGCTTCTTTCCGACAGCCGGACCAAGGAATGTACACTGTTCTTAAACTGTGCTCCTTTTCATCCAACTTCCTCCAGACTTTCATTGTTCAGACTTGGCATTCATTGGTGTTCTTAGCTTTTATAAGCCCAAGGAGAAAGTGGAATGTTTCCTGAAATATAAATAAGTAATAAAAGCAGTGTGCACATAGAACACACTTATCGTTTTTCAAGGGTGTTTTTTTCATTGGCTCTTTTAAAAAGTGTGTGTGTGTGTGTGTGTGTGTGTGTGTGTGTGTGTGTGTGTGTGAGATCAATCCAATCTCTGGGGAAAACACTTAAACTGAAGGTCCGACTGCAGATCAGCTGGGTTTCTACGGAGCTGAGTATGTAAGCTTCCCCTCCTGTATTTGCCTAAATAAGTTCTATATTCCATCTGTATTCATGATGGAAGGTTTTCAGAAGTGCATGCATGTGTGTGTATGTGTATAGGACAGAAGAGGGTATCAGATTCCCGGAAGCTGGAGTTACAGGCAGTTATGAACGGCTCAGCAATGCTGGGAGCCAACTACTAAGCTCTCTGCAGCCCCAGAAAGTGTGTTTAATAACCACATGAGGAACAGTGTCGTTATTAAATGACATGAAAGCTAGTTCTTTCTCGTAGGCTATCGGATAACGTCTGGGTGGTAGTGCTGCCTTTGGTTTCTGACTACGCAGTTGGAGCAAGGATTAGAAGCTGTGTGTGTTAACCGGCCACATGGTGCAGTGGTTCAGAGGATATCTCAAATATAAGTTACTGTTTACCCTGTTTATGTCTTATAATGTGTAGCAGAGAAAGAGGGATTTGGTTTCTGAAAGAGATGTGTCTTCCTAGTTAAATTTTTAAAAAGCAAGTGATTAGTTATTAATTGTATTAAACATGTTTTGTGTTTATTACTAAATTAACCTTTTGTACCTTGGATAGAGGAGACGAAAGGAAGTTTTTGCAAAGCTTGGAATAGTTTCATTATGAATGGCCTATTACAAAATCCTCTGTTCTCTTATCTTTGGATTTGCAGTATAAACAAAGGTTAGGTGTTAAACTTACCGATTCTTCTCTACAGGGCCATTTACCTTTCTTTCTGCTATCTATGTGTGTGGGACAGTTCGTTATGTGTTATCTTCTGTATGCTGCCCAAGATCCAATGGACATACATGTTCCTGAGTAGATTACTCTTTGAATGGTTAAATTCTAATAGGAATTCTTTTTGTTCTTTTTGCAGCTATGTCATCGTATCTTTTAATTATTAAAACCGAGCTTCCTGCTGCTATTTCAGAATTCCTGCCTGGTGACCACAGTGGGTAAGAAAAAGTGTTTCTTTGTATCCATTCATTCATTCTTCCATTCATTCATTCATTTATTTTTACGGGTTTTTGTTTTGTTTTGTTTTGCTTTGGTTTTTCGGGGTTTTATTTTTGTTTTCAAGACAGGGTTTTTCTATGTAGCCCTGGCTGTCCTGCAACTCTCTTTGTAGATCAGGCTGGCCTCGAACTCACAGAGATCTTCCTGCCTCAGCCTTCTGAGTGCTGGGATTAAAGGCTAGCCACTACGCCCAGCATGTGTTTTTTGTTTGTTTGTTTGTTTGTTTTGTTTTGTTTTGTTTTATATTGAAATCTAGTGACAAGGGAAACAAATGGAGCATTTGCCCTCAGGACAGCTAAGGTTTTGTGGGCAGAACAACAATAAAGAGAGCACTGTAGGATGTCTGCTGATGAGCCACTGAAGCCCCAGGCCCTTGAGCCCCATGATGGTAAAGGCCACATCAAATCCAAATTAGCTCTTACTGAAAAGTAAAAAAGCAGCTAAGGGTATGAGAGATGGAGGATAGTAGAGGAAGCCTCAGGATCTCTAAGTGGGAGGGACATTGAGTGATTTTTGCTGTCGTTTCTCAGCAAGTTATTGTGACAAAGAATGTGATGGCTGCAGCCACTGTGAGAGAGTCATATTAGACAGTGTAAAGAATTACGGACGAGAACTTTTTCACTTAGCATTTCTTAATATTATGAATAAAGCTGAATCACAGTATATATCCATTAAGACACAGGCTCCTACAGAATATGTTGACTTAGTTCTTCCTATGGGTAAGGAGCCCACATTCATCATGCTTTTCTGCTTCATATGTAGAGCAAGACTTCTCTTTTTTTTTTAAAAAAAGTAAACTTGGGTTAAGCCTGTTAATTTTCCAGCTACTCTACCCAGTTTTCAGAACACAACAAAGGACTGCCCTGTTTCTAGAATGGAATATTTGGTTGGTTTCCCCAGTAATCAAACTGTCTGGGATGCAGAGAAAAACCTCAGGATTTAGTTCTCAGCTGAGAGAAGTTGACTTCTCTTAAAGAAGTAAAAAGTGGCCATGTGTAAGGAAGAGTATTGCTTGTTTTCCGTCATGATGGGATTAAAGTGAGGATAATAACGTCCTTCACCATCTTCATCCTTGAGGACTCCCTTCACTTCCTGGCCCATTAGGCCTCACAGCATGCACCCAGCTACCTCGATTTACTGTCAGCTTTATCTGGCTACCTTCTGATTACGTTCTGTTAGACAGCAGACTGCTCTAAGAAGTAGCTGTGTAAAACACACTTTTTTGGTTTTGCTGCAAAAAAAAAAAAAAAAAAATTAATAACCACGTTTGTTATTTGAATTCCAAGCAAGAAATGTGTACAGAGAGTTAGAACCCAGGGCAATGTGAGGAAGAATAAAAAAGTACGGAAGCGCGTATCTTGTGTGTTTCATGCTAGTTAGCCTCAAGCATCAAACTTGTCAGGAGCTGTAGGTTTCTTTCCCCGGTGCTCTGAGGGCCCTGATGAGGGCACCGATGAGGGCTGGGAATGTGGCTCCCAGACAGAGTGCTCACCTAGCATGCCCAAGGCCCAGGGTTCAGTTCTCAGTACCAGAAAGAAGCAAAAACAGACAAGCATTCTGCAGTGGCTGGAGAGATGGCGCCGTGGTTAAAGGCACCAGGTGTTCTTTTAGAGGACCCGGTTCAGTTCCCAGCACCCACGTGGCAGCCCACAACCCCTTAACTCCAGTTCCAAAGGAGATGTGATCCCTTCACACGGGCAGACAGACATGCGGGCAAGACAACAATGCACGTATAATAAACAAATAAGTCATAAAAAGAGGACACCAATGACCTTATCTTTGTTTAGCTGCTTCCTTAACGGTGCTGTTTTGATGATCAAATAAGATGGCGCATGTGTACATGCTTGTGAGTGGGTAGCGCAGTGTAAATGTGGAGGACGGAAATTCCAGTGACCGGGATTAATTAAAGGAAGACTTTGCTCTTTTATCCAGACTGCCAGGAAGCTCAGAGCCAAACAGAAGTAAACTCTGTTAAGTCTAATGGTTGTCGTATGTCACCTGAGTTTGTCTTTGTTTCGTCTCTTTGTTTATCTTTCGGTTTCAGGTTCTGAATTTGGTGACTCGGATTAACATGTTTTAAGTAACTTTAGAAATAATTAAAGTGCTGAGTGGCAAAACCGGGGCCGGAGAGGTGGCTCAGAGGTTAAGACCACCGGCTGCTCTTCCAGAGGTCCTGAGTTCAATTCCCAGCGACCACACGGTGGCTCACAACCATCTCTAATGAGATCTGGTGCCAGTGAACATGCAGACAGAGCACTGCCTAAACAAACAAAAAACAAATAAATAAATGAATCTTAAAAAAAAAAAAAAAAAAACAAACCAGGGGGAGGGGTTGTTGCTAAAACATTTTTCACTTTAAATCAAATGCCATGTCTATTGTTGTTTTATAATTTGTTTTAAATAATTAAAATTAACTCCTGTTTCTTTATACAACTCTTCTATTTATATGATAAATGGGCTTTTAAAAACTGCATGCTTCAAATACTGTCACCTACTTTCACCCAGAGTGTATTAAAATTGCACATTTTTGATGGCTCATACTGTTTTACATGTAGTATATTCATTTATATAGAGATTATATTAATTGGCTACAGGGAATTAGTCTTTGAAGCCTAATCTTGTAAAGTCAGAGACAAATGCTGCAGTAATGAACATGGCTTTGGGAGTAGTTTATTCCTGGGTGGAGTTGTGTGGCAGTATTTCTTAACTGAGATCACGTGGTATTGCTGTTTTATTTTAAGGTTTGGTTTACTATAAGTTTCAGTTAAAATCTTTCAGGTGTCTTTATTTTCTGGCTTGTCTGTGGGTATGGATATCTTTATGAATTATAATCCTTTAGAAAGATGCTGTCAAATCACTTGTGGTCACTCACATATTCTAATTTCAAAAAAGTTACTATTGGAAATCCAGATCAGTAATATTTATATCAAACTCTTATGATACATCTATATTTTTTTTTAGAATAACTTGTAATTTTTAAATCTATAGCTGTTAAAAGTTGGGAGCTCTCTGTTAACATTTAATGGTCTTGTCAGGGGACTATGATTGACACAATTAAGTTGTCTTGCATTTGAGTTACATAATTGATATGGGATGTGAGCAAGATCCTAATTGAGAACATACGATACTCTTGTTCCATTCTATTTGAGAATGAAATTAAAGCAACTTATAAATAAATCTGGTTTTCATTAAAAAATGGAAAAAACATCTGCATGCCAAGCATTTGCAGTGCAGCTAAGGATTTATACTCTGTGTTTCATAGTTGGAGCGTTTTTATCATATAGGATTAAATCCACAGATCAAACAAGTTTTCTAGGAAGTATAAAACTTTTTACTCTAATTCTTTTGGCTTAAAGAGAATGTATATTTAGGTCACAGTAGGAAAACAGGAGTTTGGTTAGATAATTCTTTTTTCCCCCCCGCTTAGAAAAAAATTTATGTGCAGTAAATTTTCCTAAAATCTTGGTTTATAAAATAGATGCATTTAATATGCACTTTTAAGACTGCTTGTTGCTGGTTTTCTCTGGGCTTAGGGTTAATCTCATTTGTTCTCTGGACAGTCTCCATAGCCAGACACAATGCAATTGTCTGGGACGCAATGTGAAACGTAAACTCCACTGTATGTTACGATGTGGCCTTTACTGATAATGAAGGAATGATGCAGAAATCATTATCTTAATGATTGGTTTTATTAATGTCAATCAATAAGTATAAGAAACAATTTATAGTAACCAGTCTCCAAGCCTAGACAAAATCCTTTTAATGTTAAGAGTTCAGTTCAGTCCTAAAGAGAAAATGAAGCATGACCTTGAATGGATGAGGGAGCGTCTGAAAACATGCCATGAACTCAGAGTAGCCACTCTGAGTGGCTGGGAGTGTCTGTATTACGACTGTCATGAGCCCATGGTCCTTTTATGGCTTTTGTAGACACATGTAATGAAGATCCTGGACAGGATGATCTCTGAGGCCCCAAGGATTCCCCACTCTACAAGTCTGAGACCGTTACACCCTACAGTCAGGGCTGCGTCAATCACGCCACTCTTACAGATGCACCAGGATTCCATTTTCAGGTCACATACAGCAGCCCTACTTCAGGATTTCCAGGTGTTCCTCTAATCCTATGCAAGAGGATAGTTGCTGTCCCGTGCCTTAACACACAGCCTTTTACACAACTCCACCTTCCCAGCCCAGTATTTTGTTTCTCCTCTTTAAGAGTCAGGTTGGTTTGTAACCATTTTATTTTATTTTATTATTTTATTTATAGTTAGGATATTGGTCACAAGCTGTACCCTCTTAACAGATACTCACTATACAATGCAGTGTTGTTATCCAGCAGGAACAGCAGTGCTAACAGATGGAATCTGCTCAGCTTATCCCTTGGGGCCATTTTTCTACTGGCACTGCAACTGTCTGGGTCTGATACCAGGTCCCAGAAGGAAAGACATTTCAGACATAGAGCCCCGGGCTGGCTGCCAGTTTCAGAATTTAGTTGCCAGGTGGTTCTTAGGGAGGGCTATTTTGAAGTTCCCATTTGTTTTTTGTTTTTTTTTTTTTATTCAAGAGTGACTAGAGGATGAACATGTGAGCATCAGTTTGTGTTTATTATATGGTTGCTTTTGTAGCACTTCCTACACACCAGCCACTGAGGGCCACGTGCACATGCAGACAGAAAGCACAGCACAAGCCCTGCAGGGCAGAAAAGCTGTGCATCTGCCAGCGTATTTGCAAAGGACAGGAGTTGGAGCGGGCAGGGGAAAGTGATCCTGTTTCTGCTGCTGCTGCTCAGCTTGCTCTCCTAAGGAGGATGGTGTCACTACCCAGCAGGAGTGAATAAAGGTATACCAAAAGGATGGCCTCCTGAGCCAGGGTGTAATGGTGCACGCTGAGCAATGAAGGCCACGCATGCAACAAGCCAGGCAAAGGAAAACTGTCTTAACTTGACAGGGCAGTGGGACACTGGCCTCCTGTTAAGAGTGACTGAGGATGGATTATCACAGAGGGGGATTTTGAAATCATCTACTTATGGAAGGAATCACCATTGATCACTGATGCTTCCCAAACCTGTTCTATCCTGGGTTTTCTTTTTTTCTTTTCTTTTCTTTTCTTTTCTTTTCTTTTCTTTTCTTTTCTTTTCTTTTCTTTTCTTTTCTTTTTTTCTTTTCTTTTCTTTTCTTTTCTTTTCTTTCTTTCTTCCTTTCTTCTTTCCGTTCTTTCCTTCCTTTCTTTCTTTTCTTCTTCCTTCCTTCTTTCTTTTCTTTTTTTCTTTTCTTTCCTTTCTTTTCCTTTCCTTTCCTTTCCTTTTCTTCTCTCTTCTCTTTTTTCTTTTCTTTTCTTTCCCTGGAACTCACTCTGTAGACTAGGCTGGCCTCAAATTCAGATATTAGCCTGCCTCTGCATCCTGAGTGCTGGGATTAAAGGCTCCACCACCGCCCAGCTGGGGTTTATTTTCTTAATGTTGTACGATTGTGTTTATATTTATATGTTTTGCTGATTTGTCACCACACTTTCATTGTGCTGGTTACATACTGCCAGTTTTTTCCCAGAGAGTACTAATCAGACAATCACATAGTAATACATGGAGCCAGTTGTTTGACTATGTTACTAATTTAATTTCAGTAACTAGCAACTGTTATCAGATTTTTCTTCCTATATATTTGCTAGTTGTAGTTCTTTCATAAATTATCTTTCACATGTGCATGTATTAAGGTCTTGGGGAATTAACTTTAACTCTAAAATTTTTCTATAAATGTATCAGGAAATTAAAATCACATATGCATACCCATGAATTGCTACCATATAGAAATAGCCATTTTTTGTATTCTAGGCATATCTTTCTGATTTTATATATATATATTCAAATATATTTATATTATTAAAATAATCAAAATTGTTTATATTTTTATATTATGTATCTATTACATATAATAGATACTTATTATATGGTATATACTATAATGTTATACACTTAAATATTACATATTTATTATGTATATCATATTATATAACATATAAATATATATTTATTAGATGTGCTTATATATTATTTATATATTATAAAAACATTAAATAAAATCATATATGTTATTATTAAATATATATATTCAGAGTGTCATTTTTCCCTCTCTGTACTGGAATTTTTCTGACGCTCTTCTTTCTGTGTGTGACTGCGTGTGCACAGGTGTCTGCACGCGTGTATGTGGAGATCAGGAGACAGCCCTGGTGGTGTTTCTTAGGTGCTCTTCTCCTCTTTTCTTCTCCTCTGTAAGACAGGGTCCTTCGTTTTTAACCTTGCTAAAGAGGCTGGTCTGTCTTGCCAGCAAGCCTGCTCCAGGTCCCCAGCATGCACTGGTATTGTGCCAGGTAACCAGCTCTTTTTGTTTGTTTGTTTGTTTGTTTGTTTGTTTTGTTTTTTTAGGTGGGTTCAATGGATCAAATGCAGTTCCTCATGCTATAAGGCAGGCACTTCACTGACGGGCCCCAGCCCCATATTTTGTTTTTATTAACAATCACATGATCACACTACTAACTAATCATTCTCATTCAGTATTCTAATGTCTTTTGAAGAAAAGTTCAGCATTTTTAAGCAGGTAATTCATAGCCCTTCCTGAAACTCTGGAGAAATGTAGAAAACTATGAAGAAGAAAAATGACTCATTATTTTATTACCTAGAAACAATGAAGTTCCTGTTCATTTTTAATACTGATTTTTTTTCTCCAAACAGTGTCAGACTACACACACATGTTCATTGTATTCATTCTTTCTTTCAAAATTGCACCAACAGCTATTTGCTTGATTCCAGCTTTCATTATTTTTAATTTTTTAAAATTTTTGTTATTTTAAGTGTTCTCAATAAATAACGTTTTATGAAAATCTTTGTTCATATTGTTGGTGTTTCTTTGTTTTTCATAGTATTTTCTAAGTCTTATAGGGCCTGATCATATGAAGGCTCTCGGCATCTGTTGCCAAATTGCTTTCCGTGAGGTAATTAATACAGTTGTAACTTCCAGCAGTGTTTGGCCTACCTCAGTACTCCTCACCAACATGTGTTATTATCTCATTTTAAGTATTTGTTATTTTGGTAATTGAAAAATGGCATCTCATGGAACATCTTTTGTGTGTTTGTTTTGGTTTATGTGTTGTTTGGAAACAAGGTCTCTGTGTAGTCCAGGCCAGCCTCAAACTGTTTGATCTGGCCTTCACCTCTGCCTAACACACAGTGTTTTCCCTAACAGGTGTTGGTATCTTGATGGGCCAACGCTACTAATCATCATCTGTGTTGGCATCGTATTCCCTCTCTCGCTGCTTCCCAAAATAGGTAAGTCTGAAGGACTCGGTCCTCAGTGAGGACTATGCTAACATATTACGTGGCTTGCAGTAGCGTTTTGACTGCCCCACTAAAATGCTACAACAGAGCATTAAGGAGCAAGCCTTCCCTGCATTACAATGCTAGTGGCAAGCCAGTTCCCGTTCCGCTCGGCAGAGCTACACAGACGGGCCCTAGGCCCAGATACCAAGCTGCAGTAGAAAACACGCCTGAGCGCATGGCTCTATGCAAGTCAGGATCACCTGCCTTATAAACTGCTTTTTATTTTATTGGTATTTTACAGGCTTTCTTGGCTACACAAGCAGTCTATCATTTTTCTTTATGGTGTTCTTTGCTCTTGTGGTAAGTTTAAAATATAATGCATTGCTTATTTCATCTCAAAAATGCAACTGTGTTAATGACATCTTTTAACTGTTTTGTGCTGGGCACAGTAGCCTGTTTCCTATTACTAAAAGCACTACTTTTACAAAATAATTAATTTCGGTCACAGGATTATTCTTTTTGTCCATTCTACAGACACTTAAAACACCAATTCAAATTCAGTGTCTTGTGGTTCTGTAGCGAGGGGTACACAGGATTTTTGCTAAGACCGTGGGTGGAGTAGGTCCCTGGGCAGCTGTGGGCTCTGTGGGCCCTGTGGGCAGTGGCCTCTGCTTTGCAGCCAACACATACACTGCATCCTGAAGCTGTGTTCTGTTAAGGAAGTTATAGTTTGTGAGACTCGATTGAAAAGCTCTAAGGAGATGGAATGTAAATGTAATCCTATCTGCTCTGCTTATTCAATATCAAATGTTCCCATAAAGATAGTGTTGGGAATAAATATTTTTCTTCACATGCAGAAAATATATTAAAATGAGCTCCGTTTAACGTATAAAATAATTTAACATAAGGATAAAAGACAATTTTAATTTATGACCTTTTAATTCTAAGTTACATAATATCCGTGTATATGAGATTTTTAAAAAACTTTTTTTCTGGGGCTGTAGAGATATCTCAGAGGTTAAGAGAACTGGCTACTCTTCCAAAGGTCATGAGTTCAATTCCCAGCAACCACTTGGTGGCTCATAACTATCTATAATGAGATCTGGTGCCCTCTGCTGGTGTGCAGGTGTACACGCAGACAGAACATTGTATACATAATAAATAAATCTTAAAAAAAAAAAAAAAACCTTTTTTTTTCTTTGCACTGTAGTTTATTCCACAATATCTAAAGTCAAACCTTTCATAGAATTAAACATTTTTAATTTGCCAAGAATGTATATATTCCAAATAACCTTTTTCTAAGCACTTAAACTTTCCCCTCATTACTGATAAATGAATCAAGGGGAAATTTCACACATAAGCAAGTTATAGAGCCAGCTTCCAAAGCTGTCCAGATAGTCTCTGGATTAGGAAGGCAGTTCAGCTGAGTGTTGGACTTGCCTTCCGTTCCCAGGGCCCACGTGGAAAGCTGGGCATGCTGGTGCTTGCTTGTCATGGCAGTGCTGGGGAAGTTGAGACCAGTGGATCTCTGGGTCTCATTGGCCAGCCAACCTGGCCTGCGCCTACCTGGTGCAGACTGTCTTAAAAAGCAAGATGAATGGCTCCTGAAGAGTGACACCCAGGGTTGACTTCTGGCCTTCACCTGTACATACACACACACAAAACATGCAACCACCTACCACTACATACATGTGCACACAAAGACAAACAACACACACATGTACACACAGCCACCAAACATGCAACCGTATATCCACTATGCATATACGCATCAGTCATGTTTGAGTTACATTTGTTTTTTTGGTTAAGTCATCTTCTGAGACACAGAATAAAATAACTTAAAATAAGTGCACGTAAACCCTGGTTCCACTCTTCGTAAACATTTGTATTATAAGAAATGTTAAGGCTGAAATATTTAACAGTGCTTGACCATTTTTTTTTAATTTACCTACATTAAAACTATCCCCCCCACCTACCCCAGTTGTAATTCAAATGACGAATCTGGCAAATAATCTTTAGGTTTTATACTTCAGGGAGAAGCAGTAAATATCTTCATCATAAGGTAGTTGTGGAGAAGCATCTACATGGTTAGAAGGTATCCCATATACCTTGGGTGGGTCTTAAATGAGTGTGGATAACACACTGAATCGACAAGGCAGAGGTTTCATAGGTACAAGTGTAATTCAGTTTCCACAGTCAATAGCTTAACACAGGTAAACTGTATTGATACAATATGTCTGTCGCCGTTTTTGTTTCTGTTGCAGCAGATACTCTGTAATTTGATGCAGGTTTCTGCTGCAGTAGTCATATGGAAATAATTCTCCTGTATTAATCGTGATGCTCCACAAATCATCTACTTGGATTTCTACCTGTGAGAAGAGTTGAAATTTGGTCTCCAGTGAGACCATGGAGATTATGTTTTTTTTTTTTTTTTTTTTTTTTTTTTTTTTTTTTTTTAATGCTGTCTTATAGATTCTATTTCTACATTTATTTGTTTGTTTGTTTGTTTTCTGAGGCAAGGTTTAACTGTGTAACCCTGGCCGGCCATGAACTCACTATGTAGCCCAAGCTGTCCTGGAATTCACAGAAGTTCATCCTCCCATGCATCCGCCTCCTGAGGGCTGGAATTCAAGGCATGCTCCACCACCTTCAGCCAACTGACTTTGTATGCTATTTTTTTTTTAAAATACGAGACTCCTGTGATCCCCTCCTTTCTTGTGTGTTAATCTCTGCCCATTACTCACCTGTGACTGCATCCCTGCCCACTGATTGTTTTTCAAACCTGTATGTATAAATCTATTACATTTATATTATATATTTTTAGAGTCATTCCAGAAAACATTTTCTTAATTGTACTCTTCAAGCATTGCAGATAAAGCCTCTTCTAGCTCTTCTCCCAGATCCTGATTTTCATTAAAAATTTTGTGCAGAGTTTCCCTTGAGAGTACCCAAATTTAAAAACAAGTTTCAATTTAGCAGTGGCTCAAAGTGACAGTAACAGATGCCTTCATCCTTTTTTATTTTTTTTAACTTACCCTTTTGGTCACCTTGAAGTGAGTCACTAGAGTTGAGGGGGAGGGATTGCTGAGATCTCTGCAAAGGGATTTGGGATAGTGGGAGCTACCCTGCAGAGATGGGTAGGCTTTGAGCAGGGAGGAGGAAGAGGGGCCTTTTGTGCAAGCACATTAAGTATTTTTAGTGCTTGAGGTCATTTTTCTTGTTCTCTTTCCATCCCCCAAAGTTACCTTCTTACCCAGTCTGTCCTCAGCCCAAGCAAGGATGCCCTGTGACTCTGCCCTATCTTGTGGTTGGGTCTCTGCCCATTCCTCATGTGTCTACATCTCTGTCCACTCCATTCCATCATTTAGGTTTGAAGCTGGATGACCCTTTGCACAGGAATCAGCTATAATACTGGGGTTTATGTTAGTGTGAAATCAAGTTGCTAATAATTCTTCCTTTTCAATGAAATAGGTTATATTGCAAGGATTTTGGCTTGAAGGCTTCTAAGTAGCAGATGGCCAAGCAAATAAGAGGTAGTAGCTGTGGCATTCAAGACCTGGTGCTCAGCAACTGCGTTGCTGTCAGAGCCCCCAGTACTGAATTTGGAGTGGCATCAGGGCAGAAAAGAGACCAGGAATAGCCTGGCTTTTCCAGCTACTCTTTCCCTCACCCCACACTCTATCTCTTTAAAGAAAAAAAAAACTTTTCAAGGAAAAAAAAAAAGATAATGAGATCCTTGGTTCCTGTTTTGTTCTTTTGTCTTGATAAATTGATGGTTGAGCTTGGTTTTATACTGAAACCTTACCTGGAAATGCCCAGTTTATCCTTAGCCGCTCTACCACTTTGTAGGTGAGATTTTAAATTAAAAGTGACTCTTGGGTTCACTCATTAACTTAATCCTAAAAGTGTGTGTTTTCTTTAGATTTATCACTGTATAAAATTTTGATTGAATTTGTTAAAATCCCAAACTAGATAAGTTCCAAATAGGAATAGTATTTACTTACTGGTCTCCTGCAAAGACAAATACTTCCTTTCTTCTCTTTGCCCCTTTGTATGCTGGGATTTAGCCTGGAGCAAACATTTACAGAGTAATTATGTGCCTTCAACAAGGGCTACAATGGCAGTGTTGACACAGCCACAACTGTGGCTCTAGGAACGGGATGGCCGCAATTAAGAGTCAAATTCTGAAGCATGTTCATTGATGGTTTCTGGGAAACAGCATCCCTCTGGGTTTCTTTTATTTATTTATTTTTTAAATTTATTTTTACCAGCTGGAGTTCCCTAGCTTTGTGCTCTTATTCTAGCCAGCTTTCTCCACATTCACAAAATAACAAGCAGAAAGAGCGAAGAGGTGAAAAGGAAACATTCATGAGAGTGCCAGCAATGGTGCTGTGTTTTAAAGTCTGTTCATTTCTGCTTGCTTTGTCTGCTACTGACACAAATAATCATATTCTGTGCAATTACCATTGAAAACATGCTTCTTGAGTTGCACTTGAAAAAAAAAAAAAAACAGGGTACTGTTGTGACACAAGAGCATACCTAGTCTATAATGGGCAAGATTCCCATTTTTAATTTTATATCTCTTTAATGAGATGTAAAGCACCCTGTCACCCTCTGCCCAGTGACCATGTTAAAGGGTGACCGCATTCTAGCTGAGGAAGCTAGGAGCATCAAGGAGTCATCTTGTTTGGCATTATTTAAAACCGTGTCCTGCTTGACATCAACTTGTGGTGAATCCTGTTACAGATCATCTAAGTGCTGGTTACATTTGCTTTCATAGGTAGTGATTAAAAAATGGTCCATCCCCTGCCCTGTGACCTTAGATTACATCAATGCAGTCTTTCAGGTAATAATTTTTAGCTTTTTTTTTAACCTTTCAACTAAAATAAGAAATGAAAGACAAATGATTAGTTTTATAATTAATGAAAAAGTAATGGTTACATTGCATTTTAGAACTTTGCTTTGAAGTAATTTGATTTGAAATTCTAGTAGTAATAAATTTATCATATTTGTTGATGTATTCTGACTTTTAATACCTATTGGTTTCTCTTTTCCCCTCAATACTCTTAAACAGTTTTCAAACGCTACAGATGACTGTAAACCAAAGCTCTTTCATTTCTCCAAAGAGGTGTGTAAGTTATTAACAGATACTTTTGGTTGATTTTTCACATTTCAAGTTTTAAGAGATTTGTGTAACAGGGTCTCTTAGGTCTTTGTACCTGTAACTAATTAATTTTCATGAAAGTGCTAAGTATAGGATTGCCTACCAGAAGAATAATATTATTTAACACAGGGTGGCCCATTATGAAACAGCCACCTTTTTCTTTTCTTTCTTTTGGCATGCTTTTAAATGGAGCCTGTTTTAAATGGGCTTTTGCCTAAAAGAACAGATTTACCAAATGTCTGGTCTGGCCAGTAAGGTCCTCTGTGGATACGGTTTTCCTGTTGCGCTCTGGACTTGTAAAGCTAAATCGCCAATTACATCAAAAACTCCTCCCCTGGTGAGTAGGACTTTGGTCTCTAGCTAAACAGCTCCTCACTGGGCCAGCACTGAGTACTGCCAGTACACCTCCTGAACAGCATTCCAGGGGAAATTTATGATGCTCAGAGCAGAGACCAGAAACCAGGTCCCATGCCCACTCCAGGAGAGCTGTAGGATCCTGAAAATACCTGGAAGAGTCCCTGGACACCGGCAGAGAAATGGGGACCGCCGTCTGCATGGTCCCAGCTTTGCCTCTAGTGGGAAAGCTGAGTCTCCTTTTCTTGGGAGTCTCTTCCTGTCTACCTCGTATTTCTGCTGAGATGTTGTTCTGTAGGGCCCAGACACCAGACTCTGCTCTCCTCATTGCACAGCTTTGTTAGTATAGAATGTTAATGTGGTTAGTCCTCCATGCAAAGCTTTGCTTTTTATCCCCAGTTTATAACTAAGAAATGTCTCTCAAGCCTCACAAGGGAGGTCACCACATCTTTCACATGCTAAAGACCTCCACAGGCCTTAAAGATCTAGGTAGGGTAATTGACAAGCTGGGAAACTGAACAGTATATGAAAGAGAATTTGTGACTTAAACTCTCACTCCCCCTAATACAGCTGCAGGGAACACAACTTCCTAGATACTCTATCCCAAAGTAGGTCTTCATCTGGAACTTCTTTTGGTGACGAGCCTAATGCTAGCTAAAAAGAAATATTTTTAGACCAGAAAAGAGAAAATAAATCATTACCATCCATTTGTTAAAGACAGTACTTTAATTTAGAGGGTAACTTTTGGCTTTCTGGTTTTCTCTGGCTCTTGTTAAGTATCCTAATAATAATTTTTAAAGAAACGTTAAGCTTATGTATTACATGGTATCCCAAGGAGTTTTTCAGGTCTAAAAGTAATGATCTTTGTGCTCATTAAGAAAGATCTTGGTCAAAGATTCTGGCAGTACAAAGATGTGGCTTCTATTTTTAGTGCCTACTTCCATTGGTAAGTAAAAGCAGATTTGAAAACATTGGCATTATTGCTTGGGGTAATGAGATGTATTTCAATTGGGCCTACCTTAAAATGACTGAAAATTATAATAAGATGAATTTAAATGTAGCAGCTTATGTCTCATCTAATCCAAAGAGTCTAGAAGGTGGTGATGGTAACAGAGCAGCATGAGAATGAGAGACCAGCCAGAAGCTGTTCTGGTCAGGGTAAGCAAGCTACCTGTAAGCTGCAGTTCTCTCTCTCTCTCTCTCAAAAGTCTCAAAAGAGATCATTTTTGAGAGATAAAATAAATTTGACTAAGTTGTTTTTAAAAAGAACTTTATTGTTGGGCTGGCAAGATGATGCCAAGCCTGATGGCCTGACTTTACTCACCAGGACTCACATAGTGGAAGAAATTGACTCCTACTAGTTACCCTCTGACCTCTGACCTCTGCAAGTGCATGGTGGCATGGGTGTGCGGGCATAGACATACACAAAATAAATAAATAAAAATAATTAAAACATAAAGCCTTAGTCTATTATCAAATAAAACTGGAGCAGCGTTTAATGATTTCTTTTGTTCTATATTTTTTTCAGAGCGTTTATGCCATACCAACCATGGCTTTTTCATTTCTCTGCCATACCTCAATATTGCCCATATACTGTGAGCTTCACAGGTACTGTAGAATGCTGGAAATGTGTATTTACCTCTGGGGCTTTCAGATTGAATCTCATTCTCATTTATGAATCCTTCCCTGTTGTGCTGAATTCTGACTGTTAGTTTAAAACAAACAAACAAACAAATAAGGCACCAAGAGTTAATTCTGGGCTCATTGGGAATGTTGCCAGTGGCACCGTCTTTGTCTCGGAGAGTCCACTTGTAAATTCCAGGGGGTAGCCATTGATGAACTCAACGATTGTCTGAGAAGTCCCAACTGGCCCGAGATGGTTGTTCCGTCAGGTGTGATTCAGATCGCTGCTTTTGTCAGCCTTTTCCTTTTTTGTGTTTCAGCCCCTCAAAGAAAAGGATGCAGAATGTAACCAACACAGCAATTGCATTCAGCTTTCTGGTTTACTTTGTGTCTGCCCTCTTTGGATACCTCACTTTTTATGGTGAGTATATCCTTAATTCTTAATCAGTTACGTGAGGAAGGAAGCACAGGTGACCTCACCCCTGCCTGTGGCCTTTCTTTCTGCCTTTGCCAGCAAGTTCATCGGTTCAGGCCACATTTCAGCACTGTGGCAGCTTTGTGGCCTCCCCCGTCTCTGACAGGTAAATCAGGATTAAGATTAAGGACTCCATAGGAAAATGTTTCCTCCTTTTAGATTTTTGTTTTTATTTTTAATTATGTGTATGTTTGTGTGTAAGTGTGAATTTGTGCTTGTGAGTGCAGTGCCAGTGGAGGCCAGAAAAGGGTCCCTGCAAGCTGGAGTTACAGGGAGCCGTCAGCCGGCCAACTTTCGTGTCCAAGTCCTATTCCTGTGAGAGCAGTACAGGTTCTTACGGCTAAGCCATCTCTCCAGCCCTGAAATTTTTCTTAGACTTTTATGTAAAATTTCAAGCATATTGGTGCCTCTATAAAATAATGATTTGGGTCTTTTTAAATTGCATATGCAGTGCTGGGGGTCCATGGCAGCGCACACTTTTAATTCTAACACTCGGGAGTTTGAGGCTAGCCTGGTCTCCATGGTGAGTTCCAGGCCAGCCAGAGCTACACGGTGAGATCCTGTCTCAGAAAAAAAAAAAAAAATTACACATTCAGCGTGTTAGACTCTATATGATAAACTTAGAGGTTAGGAGTGTAAACCATCTCCATAATTACAAAAGAGCATCTGAGGAAAAGATAGTACAGAGCGCTCCGCTGTCGGGCACCTCTGCCTTCAGACCTCACCTTCCCAGCATGCGCTTGAGCACACTGCTGCCTCCTAAACACACCTGTAAACTTGTAAAGCATAAGCAGAGTTCTCCTTTGTTTACTTAGGAAACGTTTCCTGAATAGCTTGTTGGGGTTTTTTTTTTCCCCCTCTTTCAACAAGAGCGTCAAGAACTAAAACAGAAGTCTAGATTAAGAAAGAAAAGATGAGCAAAATTCACAAACAGTCACACCGTAACACACAACACTCAGCTCACCCGATTGTGAGTGTGCTTGCCAGCGAGTAACTGTTTCCATAGTAACTGCAAGTAAATGGCTGTTTCCAGGTGGAGATACTTATCTGGTGGCGATCTGCTTGACGGCCTTGTGTGCCTTCAGGTTTTAGACTGCTGTGGTCACTGGCTGTAGACCTTCAATGATACTTCCCTCCCCATTTTCTTGTACCGCTGCATTTCATAGGCCCATTGAGAAAAATACTGCTTTTGAAACCCAACAGATCTGGGTCATGTAACTAACTGTCAATACCCTAACTACCCTATAACCTGAAGTAGCTTCAGCTCTAATCTGTAATGTGAGCCTAACTGCATAGGATTATAGCCAGGCAGAAATGAGTTCTGTATACAGCCCTCCTGTAGTATTGGGCACGTAATAGCCCTTCCCAAATGGGGGTTGTTTATAGCTGTAAACTACCATCATCCTAATTATTCCATTATCTCAATTAACAATTATAATTTTAGGTACCCTATTTCAGCATCGTGCTTCTAATTCTTGAGTGCATGTTGCATGTATGCTCAGGTACATGTGTGCACATGTGTAGGTGGAAGTTACATGACAGCTTCGGGTGTCATTGTTCAAGAGCCAGCCACCTTGCTTTTTTGAGGCAGGGTCCCACCCCTGGCCTGGAATTTACAAGTAGGCTGGGCTGGCTGGTCAGCAAACTGCAAGGACTCTGCCTGTCTTTGCCTCCCCAACACCGCGATTGTACGCACAGGCCGCCACACCCAGACGATTTCTAAGATGGAGTGTAAGGACTGAATAAAGATCCTCATAGCTGCGAGGTAGCAATTCTATCAACGGAGCCCCCTCTCCAGCCCCTCTTACTATGACAGCCTTTCAGTGTGTGCTCTATTGTCATGGCATTTTCTCTGCGTGCTCTATTGCCGTGGCAATTTCAGTGTGTGACACATTCACCGTTCTGTCTGTTTCTTCCTTCTTGTCTGTCATTTCACCAGTAACAAAGGTTGTGCCGATCATAGAAGGTTGAGCTTGCATTTTAGCCTGCTGCAGGGTGAGAGTAGTGGAATTTTGTGTGTATCATCCAGAAAAGCATGCCTCCCTGGCTGAGCACAGGGTCTGCTCCAAGGGAAGCAGGAAAGGGATGCTCAGTGAGCCGGCATTTAAGCAAGGGTCAGGCATTTTCCTTGGATTACTTCTCTCCTCACGACAACTCAGATGGGTTGGTTTAGATTGAGTAATGAGGTCGCTACCTTCAGATAGTACATGGAACCAGAGCTTGGATTCATTCTTTCTCTAAGTCTGGTGCCTTCAACGCTTGCTGCCTCCAACAAACATAAAACCCAGCCCATATTCCTTTATTCTAGGTTCTAATTAAAGTGAACTTTAGGAAACTGTGGCTCACCAAGCCCCCGTTATATGTCTGTCTGTCATCTGTGCAGATGAAATGTTTCCTGGAGAGGGATTTGCCGAGCTATCAAGTAAAGCTGTCAGGGAGCCTCTAACCTAACCCCTTCTCCACAGTGCATGGCTGCCAGATGCTGTACATTGAAGGAACGCACAGGTGATAGGGTCACGCAGCTGGTGGGTACCTGACAGACAATAATGCCCTCCCAAAGACAGAAGACCCATGGGAAATAATAGTTTGTTCCTTGCAGTACTTCTTTTCTCCCCGTTGTTAATCATACTCAAAGAAATGCCTTCTATTGCAGCTTTCAAATGGTATAGACAAAGCTGTCTGTGACAGAAAAAAAATAAAAAATAAAAAACAAAAAAAACTTGTTTGTTTGGTAGGCCTAGCCTAAAGTTCAAGCTTATAAAGTTCAAGCTTATAATTCATCTTTTTAGGTTAGCAGTTTTATCCTAAATCAGTAAAGTGGCCTGTTGGGGAATGAAAGGCATCTTTCTGAAATAAGCCCATACTATTCTTTCTGTTGCCTTATGGAAATCTTCTCGGTGTGAGCAGGCAGCCACATGATACCAGTGGTACAAAAATCACCATCAGGTCCTTTCCGAAATCTGTAACACTTTCTCTGAGTTCAAAGAAGTGTACTATAATCTGCTCCTTATATAAGTATATAGGGTGGCTGCCTGAGAAGGGTTTCTAGTGAATGCAGTTATTAAGGCTTCTGGAACTGATCGGACTTTATCCAGGACTCTGAAAGCTTAGTTAGTATGGGACTTCTGTCAGATTAAGGGGCTCTGTAAGCATCAACCCACATTAACAATGTTGGTTCTAATCACAGATGTTAAAGAGGAAAAGCATTTCTCTGGTGAGCCAGGCCAGTGCCCAGGCATTGGGTAACCAGGCCATTTTAATGTCTGCAAGGTTGTTAAGCAAGGAGTGTTAATAGCTCATTTTATGATTCAGAAAATGGAAATGAAGTAGTTTGCTATATTTCTCCAAAGACTCGCAAGTATCTCACAGATCTGGAAATAGAATCCAGATTTCTTGGCTGTTGCCAGTTCCCCCACCTAGTCCCATTCTTCATTCTGTAATTTTTGTCTCTAGCACTATAGACAAATGCCTTTCTCTCCCGTCTGTGATCTCTAGCCTGGCTCGGAGTTTCCTTACTTTAGTGATTATGGCACTAGCTTTCTGGTTTTGTGTTTCTGATATTTTTCTTTTGCTCTGTACTTATGTGTAGTTCAGGTCATAATACACTCCTCTTTCTGTCTTAGGTACATTCCTCATCGCTGCAACAAAACACCTAAGGTGCAAAGCAACCTGAGGGGAAAGGGTTTATTGTGGCTCACAGTTCAAGGTTACAGCCCTTCCTGTCAGGGAGGGCACAGTGGCAGGAGCTGCTCAGAAGACTCGGGAGGCATGAGATTCTGTCTAAGGTGCTTTCTTCTTCTTTTACAGTCCAGTATCCCGGTCCATGGGATGGCACCATCCGCTGAGCCTCCCCTGACACCCTCCCTTTAGCTAACCTAACCAAGATAATCCCCACAGGCATGCCAGAGATCCATCTCCCAGCTATATAGAACTCCTGAAACTGGCAATCGAAACTAACCTCACCCTCCTAAGCCGTGCCTCTGGCTTGTCAGATCTAGTGTAAACCCTGCAGGGCCGTCTCACTGGGGCTTCGGTGCCTCTGCCATTCCTTTGCTCACTGCCCTCAGTGCCCTCCTGCTCATCATGCCAGCTGCAGTGCTCACTTCCTCAGACACGTTCCCTTTGCTTCTGCTGGTGCTGCATCTTCACTCTAGAGCCTCTCCTTCCACAGCCAAGGATGTCAGCACACATAGCAACTCCTCCCATGCACTCAGCAGCTCTGAAGGTCTATGAATTATTGTCATCTGAAGACATAAAAATTAAGAAGTCGCTGGTCCATTTGTGGCCTTGTAGTCTCCGTTTAGACTCACCATAGCTCTTTGTTGAAACCTGCTTCTGCCACCTAGGTTTTGTTCATGATGTGTGAGCTTGTCTCTTGTGTCTTTATGGGTTCCTCTTATCTCCTAAGACCTAGAAAAGCAGAGGTAGGTCAAACTGCTCTTTGTCCATGGGTTCTGAGGTGTGGTAACACCCTCGTTCTTCCTCAGGTGACCTAGGCGAGGGAAGCTACCAGGAGGAATGTCTGGCTCCTTCTCTCAGTCCTGCCTCTGGCTGGCCTGACTTACCAAACAAGCCATTTTCTTACCACTTCGTTTTCTCTTTTACACAAGATGAAAACAGACAAAGCTGATAATTTGCACAAAACACTATGCGGGCTCTAGAAACAATCCCTGAAAGTATGCTCTTGAGAAAACACTGGTATTAAGGGAACACTTTATCCCAGAAGTGTGGGGTGTTCTGTTCTGTCCCCCTGCTGTGAATCCTCAGGCAAACCGCCTGGCCCTTGGTCCTTTTGAGCCTCCGTATCTCATATTGCTCTGGTGACCAAATTCAGCAGTGTATATACAAACACTTTACAGACACAAGGGTGTAAACCCTTTCCTTAAAACTAGAGACAAGTTCTAAGGAGTTAGCTTTGCTTTGTGTTTTGTTTTATTTTGTTGTTTTTGTAGCTAGGCCTCACTGGCCTGGAACATGTTAGGTAAACCAGGCTAGCCTCAAATTCACAAAGATCCACCTGCCTCTGCCTTCCCGTTGCTATGACAACAGCCACACACCACCACACCTGGTTAAAGAGAATTTTTTTTTATTTTTAAATTTAACTTTATTTATATATTTATTTATTACAACTTATTCACTGTATCTCCACTACAGCCTTCTCCCTTATCTCTTCCCAGTCTCACCCACCCTCCTTCTTCTCCCCCTATGTCCTTTCCCTAGTCCCCTGATAGGGGAGGAACTCCTCCCCCTCTCTCTAACCCTAGCTTATCAGGTTTCACCAAGGCTGGCTGCATCATCTTCCTCTGTGACCTGGCAAGGCTGCACACACACATACTCCCAATCCAGGGAGAGGTGATCAAAAAGCCGGCCATTGAGTTCATGTCAGAGACAACCCCTGTACCCCTTACTAGGGAACCCACTTGGAAACCGAGCAGCCAATGGGCTTCCTTTGAACAGGGGTTCTAAGTCCTCTCCATGCATGGTCCTTGGTTGGAATATCAGTCTCTGCAACACCCCCTGGGCCCAGGTATTTTGGCTCTGTTGTTTTCCTTGTGGAGTTCCTGTCCCCTCCAGGACTTTCTATTGCTCTCTTCTTCCATACGGATTCTGGCATTCTGCTCAAAGTTTGGCTATAAGTCTCAAAGCGATATTCTTACATATAAATTTTAGTCCTCATTTTGGAGATTCTGTGTGTTCTGGTTTAAAGTATCTTAAAAGAATACAAAAACAGTGTATGGGTTGGCAAGATGTCAGAGTGTATGTGGGCTGGCAGGATGTCTCAGCAGGTAAGAGCACTTGCCACCAAGCCCAGTGGCCTAGGTTTGATTCTCAGGACCCACACGGCAAAAGGAGAGACCAACTCGCACACATTGTCGTCTGAGCTCCACATGTGCGTTGGCACAGGCACCCCCACAAAAGTAAGTAAATGCAGCACATTTTAGAAAGAAGTGTACATCTCAAGAAAATACCCAGTACCTTTGTATATCACAAGACCCTGATTGTTGCTATTGTTGTTGTAATTTATTTACAGACAAAGTGGAGTCAGAGTTACTACAAGGTTATAGTAAATACTTGCCACACGATGTTCTTGTCATGGCTGTGAAGCTATGCATACTATTCGCTGTGCTTTTGACAGTCCCTCTAATCCACTTCCCCGTAAGTATGCCTAAAGGTTTTGTTGCTCAGCGTCGTGGCTCCCTAATATGGCAACGCTAATTCTTTGCAGACCAGAACCTTTGAATCACATCTAGTCTTGTGTATCTTATTCATTTGTCAAGTAATTGATCCAAGGCCTCATACTAGCATATGGTCCCATGAAAGCACAAAAATAACAGTGAACCTCGAAGCTAATTTGTGCTTTCTGAGATTTAGTTTAGATTTACCTCTCCCTCAGTTTTGTTTCCAATTTAGAGACTATAGTTCTAAAGTTTTTTGGGGTTTTATTTTTTGGCGGGGGGCTGTCTTTGTGTATTCTGTTTTCAAAAGAATGTGCACAAAGAAGAGAAAGTCAAGTCAGCAAAAAATAAGCTCCTCTTGGTCTATTGCAGGTTTCTTAACCAAGGGAGAAGCCAGTTCACTCTTAGACCGTATACTTGTCCTAGAATGTAAGAGGCAGAGCAGTCTCCCATTCTATATGCAGTCGCCACACTTAAGAATCTTAAGAATTTCCGTGAAAATGAAAACAACAGCTTTGGGTAGAAATGCTTGTGTATGGGTGTCTTGAACTCCTGTGAGTTTCTAAAGACTGGGACCTTCAGGAACCCTCGCTCCCCGCTGTGAGACTGCAGGGTCAGAGGTCCCGCATAAACTTGTGGGCTGTGGTTGCCAGTGGCATGCCCTAGCAATGGAAGATTGGGAAACATTTTTGTTTTGTTTTATATTTATGCGCCATGGAACAGATAACAGAAATAAAACAGAAAATGGTATTTCTCTTCCATGCCATGTTCTTTTTTGTTGTTGTTGTTTCTGCTTGAAAAGTTTGTTTGTCTGTTGAATTTAATGAGAATTGTTCTTTGTGATTTCATAACATAGTGTTATTGCTTGTAATTCTTTAAATTACAAAACCGAAAAAAATTGCCTGTGAAACTTTTGTGTGGAATTTAAGCAAAATAATTTTTATGAAGCTCACTGAGAAGGGTTTATGTGTATAAAAATACCGCATAATGATAGTTTATGCTGTGTCTGGGGAATATAAATGATTTGGAGTAAAAATATTATGGTTACTATACATGTGTTTCTCTAAGCAAATGCTATGCCTTTGATCCTTTCCCTTTGCCCAAATCTCTCTTTTTCTGCTCTACAGGCCAGAAAAGCTTTAATGATGATACTTTTCTCAAATTTTCCATTTTCATGGATTCGGCATTCTCTGACCACATTAGCGCTCAACACTATTATTGTTTTACTTGCAATATACGTTCCTGATATTAGAAATGTATTTGGCGTTGTTGGTAAGTTCTGCGTGTGCGCGCACGAGCCCGCGCACACACACACACACACACACACACACACACACACACACACACACACCACAGGGCGGGGGGGATGGAAGGGTGTCTCAGTGGTAGAGCACTCCCCGGCCGAGACCTTAGACTGGATGTCCAGCTCACAAGAGTAAAGGGATAATGAAGTCAGCACTCACTCAGCCGAACTGACGGGTCTGTTTCTTCTCCTCTCTACCCTTGTAGGCGCCAGCACATCAACCTGCCTGATTTTTGTGTTCCCAGGGCTATTTTATCTTAGACTCAGCAGAGAGGATCTTCTCTCATGGAAAAAGCTTGGGGTAGGTTGTTTTGTTTTCAACTGTTTAGGACTTCCATTTTAAGAAATGGTTGCTGTTTAAGAAATGGTTATTACTATGTCTAAGAAGACAGTGCATCTTAATATACAAAGTACACTTTGGAGTCAGGCAAGATGGCTCATGCCTGTAATACCAGCTCCTAGAGGACTGAGGCAGGAGGATTGCTGAGTGTTTGAGGCTAGCCTGAGCTACAGAATGAGACCCTGTATACTGACACTGAGTGAAAGAAAGAATGGCAGGGAGAAGGGCGGAGGCTCACACTCATTGTCTCCTTTGTCTCCACAGGCTTTGTCCCTGCTTGTCACCGGTGTCTTGATTGGGAGCTTCAGTTTAGCGCTCATCGTTTTTGACTGGGTCAACAAATGAAAGAATTTTTTTTTCTATTATAAAGAATAACTTACCTCTGTAAACAAGAAGGGATCATTCTGGAAGGTGCTGCATATAAAATTCACACTCTTAGGAAAACTCTTAACAGAAAAGCAGGACAGACCATCAGTATGCGATAAAATGTAGTCATTTTAAATTTAACCAAAATTAGAAGGACTCAAAATGTTGTTTCTGAATAGAGTTACTCTTTTGTTTGGGAGTTTTGTTTTTTGTATTTTGTTTTTGAGACAGAATCTGGCTGTGTAGACCAGGCTGGCCTTGAACTCACAGCATTCTGTCTGCTGCTACTTCACAGCTGCTGGGGGTAGAGCCATGTGCCATCATCCTGGCGCATGCCTGGCATTTATGACTTAAAAAAAAAAGTAGCCTTTATTTTTTAGAGCAGTCTAATGTTTCAGATATACTGAGCAAATGAAATAAGGGATTCTGTGTGGCGCCATACTCCATCCCCTGTAGCTTTCTGCTGTGCCTCTCGTGTCAGTACAACACAGTACATGCAGGAAGGCTAAAGTCCACGGTCGACATTAGGCTTGTTCCTGGTCACCACTCATCTTTTTACCAGAATGCCGTGGTTGGAATCCTGCAGGATTGTGTGTCCCTTTCTGACCGACTTCATTGGCTTCATAGCTTGTTTCCTTTTAGTACCAAGTAATATCCCTGTTATAGTGATCTATCAAGTTTGCTCATCTGCTTCACCTCTTGGACCTTTCTACTGCTTCCAAGTTTCGCCATCCATCAATAAAGGTGCTAAAAATGTTTGTGCGCAGGTTTTTACATGATTGTGTTTTCAGTGTGGGGGGGAGGGTAAACATTAAGGAACACATGCTACATTGTAAAGGTATTTTTAGCCTTAGAAGAAACTGCCAAACTGTCTTCCAAAGCAGTTGTAACATTTTGCGTCATTGCCAGCACCTAGAGAGATGCAGTGGCATCTCTGGTTTGAGATTCCCCAGCGGCATGATATGGGCATTGCACAAGCTTCTGCGTCCTCTGCATATTTTCTTAGATGAATGTCTAACTAACTCTTTTGCCCATTTTTAAGTTGGGTTGTTTGCTCGTTGCTTAGTTTTACAACTTTGTGTGTATTGGATGCTTGTCTTTGAGATAAGTATTTGCAAAGATTTTCTCTCAGTCTGGACCTTGCCTTTCCATTTTTCTAACAAGCTTTCACAGAGCAAAAAGCTTTTATGTTAACTATAAAGAATCAGGGGTCCAAAAAGATGGCCCAGTGGGTAAGAGCACTCATTGCTCTTCCAGAGGACTCAGGTTCAATTCCCAGCACCCAAATCGCAGTTGATAACCAAATGTAGCTCCATTTCTGGTGGATTCAGCACCATCTCCTGACCTCTGCAGCCACGAAGCACACACATGCCCCATAGACATACATGCAGGCAAAATACTCATACACACAAAACAAAACATTAAAGTATATGTATTGACTGAACCGGCAGCTGTAAGGGTTCCGATCGGCAAGGTATGGAGAGCGATGACCAGCGATGAGAAACAAGGAAGGTGAGAGGTAAAGAAAACAAGCTGTAGCTGGGACCAGAAAGTCTTGCATAAGCTAATGGCTTATGCCAAGCTAGGTCACGAAGCACACCATTGTATGTACTGTTTCCTGGGGGCGGGGGAGGGGCAGAGGCAGGGGACCAAGGCCAGCAGAGGGCTAAGTCGGACATGCTGAGAAAAATACCATGGTCCTCCGACACAGCTGCCTAAAGACTGATAACTGTAGCTCAGGGGTGAAAGCCAGGTCCCAAAACTATGACTTTGACTCTTGAGCCCTAGACAGGTTTGTCAAGTCCACTCACGACAAGGACACAGAACTAAGGTTCCCATTGTCCTTTTAGCAGGACTTGTCTGGCTCCCCACAATATATGAAGACTATTTTTGTTTTATTACATTTATACACAAAATTGACTCTTAGTGCATGGATTAATGTCAGTGTCAGTCACTGATAGGGGAACTGAGATTTCTCCACTGGGTACGGCCCTGCCTCCCCTCCCAGTTTTTGCTGAGATGTTTTTCTGTTTGCTCTATGTATGTTTGAAAATTCTCCAAACCTCAGTTTGTCATTATAATATGTGACCTTGTTCTTGGGAAACAGACAAATATTGATGGTCTGCCTCATACTTTGTTTAGAAATTGCAAAATACTGCTTTCTGCCCATTGACAATGATTCCCAGTTGGAGATCTAGAGCTCTTCTGCCATGAGGACGCTGTGTAAATAGCCCACGCCCACCCCCACCCCCACTCCCGGTTTGGCAGGCCGCCAAAGCCAGGATGCATCAGTAAAAAAAAAAAGCTGCTGCTGCAGTTGACTTGTAAAGTAGGGAGTTTCATGCAAAGCGATGACTTGCATATATGCAAATATACACATTTGCAGGAGTCCTCTTGCCTTCCACTTAGGAAAGAGACTGCAACTTTGGCAACAGAGCTTCTCTTTTGAAAAGATCAAAGAGAAGGTTGGCAACCTGAGAGCGCTGGGTACAATGGGGGAAGGCCAGGCTTTGGGGTAGGGAGAGCTAGATTCAGATCTTAATGTAATTCATACAACCCTTAACTTGTAAGCCTCTACTTGCAATTCCGTGCAAGCAAATCGATACCCATTTTTAGGACTGTGTTGGGAGGAGGGTGGTGAATGACCTTTGATAAGTTAGATGCAGACCAAGTAGGCTCTCTTACTGAGGTTTGTCCCTTGTCTCTGACTGGTCCCTTATCTGGAGCAGTAAAATGAAATTATTTTCGCCCAAGGGCATGGAAACAAGTCTTGGACTTGCATGTCTTTTACCTTCTGAGTCTCTTTAGCCTTCAGTCCCCTGGAGCTGGCCCCAGAAGCAGAGGTTAGTGCTTTCCCACAGTCCCAGCCAGCTGTGTGCTTCCACTTAGCCCCGTTCTGAAGCTAGTTACTCAATGCCCCCAGCCCAGGCAGGCAAGCATGGCCTCTCATCTGGCTTCAGGTCAGAGCTCATCGATTAATGAGCTACTGGTACCCTCCTCTTCTGTGTATGAAATAATGCCCATAGATGTTCAGCTGCTTAAATAAATCTTAACTCTAGTAATACCAAAATAACCCCAAATCTACAACAGATGCAAGGCTGCCCCCAGGGGCAAATGTGAAGTGTGGTGACAGCTGGGCATCAATTAATACATTTGTCACCTGTTCATGAGATAGTACCCTGGGAGATTTGGCAAGAGACAAATAGCCTTTGTAACACTGCACAAAAAATTGAGTTACTATCAAGGAAAATAATTGGTGGAGGTGGTCGGTTTGGCTATAACATTCTGTCTTGCCTGATTGCCTATGTGAGTCACATTTTCTGTGAATTTGGAGGAAGCTGCTGAGAAGGCTAGCAAGAGCCATGGCCCCTTCATAACCTCGTCCGAGTACCCCCCAGCATTTTTTTTTTCTGGGAAATATGGGCCTTCTCCTTATGGGCTTAATGGTCATAATTTATTAGGTAATAACTATTTAAAATAAAACTGAGAAACGCACAAAACACACTTTTCTAACATTTGGAGAGTTATTTGCTAAATTAAAAGACAAAATGCCAAGACTGTAAATTACTTTCATATGTTCAGAGCGAATGTTTAAGTTGCATTTTTTTTTTTTAACAGAATGTTTACTCATGAGCTTAGCATTTAAACGGTTAAAACAAGCCTTTGAAGTTAACACTCCATTAAGATGAATGGGGGTAATTCACACCTCTGCTGGGGCTGTATTATTTCAGTCTGGCTGTGGGGAAAACAGGACAGCAGCATGTTGATTTACTGGGCGAAGGTCCTTTAAACACCCTTTGTTCTTGTGGTGGTGGTTTCTTTTGTTTGTTTGCTTGTTTTCCTTTTTTCACCTAGAAACAGGATCTTAGGGTCCTCGCTGCACTTAGGTGGGGAGCTGGGGTCTTGAAAGATGGTAGTCTACCGTCTGCTGGGTCTGCCTGTGACTTGATGGGCAGCTTGTGACCAGGCCAACTCAAGCTTTGTTCAGTTCCACCGTGCAAGGTATTCTTTAAAGTGTAGTTCAGTCCCCTGGAAATTGCACTGACAGAAAAGGCAGGGATGGTCCATTTTCAGGTCAGCCTCACATAGGCCTCTCATAAGTGAGTTAAGAATTAATTGGCTTTCTTGTACCTTTAAAAACTTTATTTTTGCAAAGTTTTATATTCTTATTTCTCTGTATGTACGTCTGCCTCTAAAAGCCGGGCATGATGGTACACGCCTTTAATCCCAGCAGGCTGAGGCAGATGGATCTCTGTTAAGTTTGAGGCCAGCCTGGTCTACATAGAGATTTCCAGAAAAGCCAGAGCTTTTGAATAAAGAGACCCTGTCTCAAAAGGGGATGGGGGTGAGGGAACCTTAAGAACTTTTTTGTGATCCTCAAAATGACTCAAGATAAAGCCCTTGTGGCAAGCCTGACCGTCCAGCTCCACAAAGTTGTCCTCTGACCTCATAACTGACACACTCTACATCCCCATGTCAGCTTGCTCTCTCTGTCTCTCTCTCTCTCTGTCTCTCTCACACACACATACAAATGGCAAGTAAAATAAAGCTTTTTTTAAAAAAGAACTTTTCCCAATTCCTGTGGTAGATCAGCAAGGAAGGATTCCTTTTCAGCGCGTCGATTGTAGCAGCGCTCAGGTCTGTGTTTGAAGTGTGTATCCCGCTCATTGACCGTGCTAAAACCATTTTAACGTGAGAGGATTCATTTTAGAGCCTGGGACTGAAGTGTTCTTAACACACATAAAATGGCTAACTTTGTATGAAAGTTAATGAATTTGAAAGATCTCTCTTTTTTTTAATTTTTTATTGTGGGCAAGTTTCTCTCCTTTCTCTGCATGTTTGCAGGATCAGGTTACTGGGGGCCCTGTGGGGAGCTGGGGGAGCTGGGAGTGGAGGCTTCTCCTCTGCATCCATCCACACAGTGCTGGTGCTGCCAGTGGGATGTGGAGAGACAGAAGGGAGAGTGGGGGGACGAGGGATCCATGGGAGCTGTGCTGGCTTTGCAGCCGCCTTGGGGTGACAACCCCCCCCCATGCTAAACATGTTCTGACGTCATAACATTTGACCGTAGGACATCTCAGAAGCTTCTATAGTACTGAGAAGTTTGCTCTCTAAAATAAACGAATGGGTTCCTCACTCTTCTGCCTGGACTTTGGCAGTCCTTCGTCTGTGGGGTAGAGAAATTGGAAAAGGAACGTGGGTGGAAGATGTGTGGATCTTCAGGCATGGTTTCTTCATGGAGTGGCAATTCTCTCTCTGCCTCTCCGATGGCAGGCCATTGTCCCAACTCACCACACAGCCAGTCCAGAAGAGCAGGGAGACTCAGCTTGGCTGTCAGCCAGGTGGACAGGTGGGCATGAGAACTCCAATTACCTGTGGGACAAAGTAGAAGGTTGGAAGGGAAATTGAGCTGCCGGGGTGGAGGACAGATGGCAGAAAAGACGCTGTAACATGGGATGCTATTTTAAGAAAATGTAGGTGACCTTTAGAAAAACATCTCTCACTTGTTTGAATGTATGTATGTTTATCTAATGTCAACAGTGGACTGAAGGGCAGAAATAAGTAGTTACCTAATATTATAAGGCCCAGGGATTGTGCTGGTCCTAGAGTCACAAAGCTAGGAGCTAGCTGTCCATCTTGCCTGAGAAGGAGAGTTCAGAAAAGCTTCTTCAGATAGACCCGGATCATTGAAACTGCTCAAAGGGAGATTTGTGTGCACATTTCCATGTGCGTGTGCGTATGTATGTGTGTGCTCATG